ACACTACAAAAGGAAGATTCAGCTGCTTGGATCCAGGATCTGGTTGTTTCAGGAATGATCCAATCACCCACAGGTCAGGGTTGAAATGTTAGCGGGCCAGTAAATCCAGAGCTTTGTGTTTCAACTCAATGCTTCCTTCACCACGACTGAACGAAGCAACACCCTCATTACCGAGGACCTGATGTGTGGAGCCACCTCCTGCTCCATCCTACCATCACTCAAGATGTTCACATAGTTGAAGTGGGAACACCTGGTGGTCGACCCTTGGCTCCTGGGGCTCAGCCAGGCCAAGTGGGCCGACCACCCCTGAGGAGAACCATCAAAGTGTGAAGAAATTAAGTGTTGGGGAGGTTAGTACTGATTTTAGAAGCACAACAAAATATTCTTAAGTTCTCCTTTTTGAAATATTGACAATGTTTAATCTATTGTTATGTCTTGATTGAAATAGGTCTAGTTACATTTTTTCAACACATAAATAACCTTTTGAAATACATTAGGTGAGAATTGTGTCTGAATGCCTGTGACTCAGCCGTAGGCTAGCAGGGGGCGAGCGAAGGTATTGAAGAAGCTGTATAAAAATTATTCATAATAATCCATCCATCCATCCATTTTCTGTACACGCTTCCTCCTTTTCAGGGTTGCGTGGGTCTATTAATAATAATAAATAATATTTTTCTCTAAAGTGACATTGTCTAAAAGACCCAGTAAACAAACAGACAGAGAGGATGAAATATTACATCCCAGACACTTAGACAAGTCTTTGCAAACTCACACCAGAACCTCTGAACAGGTGGACACAACCATAACACGTGAATATACTGTAATTATCCGGTGTATCGCCTGTGCACTGTGAGCAGTTGTTAGAAGAAGCTAATCCCATCCTGAACATTCACTGACCTGTACAGTGTACTCTATAAAGGACTTTATGTAGTATTGATTGTAAGTTTGAGTTTCTGCTCATTTTAAATGTTTTTAAGCATATTTGTGACCAGGTATTCTGGTCAAAGTTAATTAGTAAGTCTGTCTGCCATTTTATAACTGGAAGAGATATTGAGTCATCTATTCTAGAGAGTTTCATATAAGTTTTAGATAGTAATTTGGGAGATTTAAGAGAGAGGAACTCTAATACACTTGCTGGTGTTTCTAACAATATTTTATTAAGCTTAAATTTGTTTTTTATATAGACTTAATTTGTTGATATAAGAAATGTTTCTTATCAATACCATGTTGTATTGTTAGTTTATTGAATGGAATAAAGTCTACACCTTCATATATATGTTCCAGGTATTCAATTCKTTTACCTCTCCAATCWGGGAAGTCTAACATATTATTTTGTTGTAGTATGTCAGGATTGTTCCAGATGGGTGTTAGTCTACATGGGATTAGTGAAGATTTTGTCATTTTCAGAAACTCCCACCAAGCTGTCAACAATGAGCTGATATTGATGCTTTTAAAGCAAACACGTCGCTTTATATTTGTGCTAAAAATGGAAGGTTTGAAATAATGTTATGGCATAATGTTTGTTCTGTATCTAACCAAGTTACATCTAGTGGGGTAGGATATAACCATTTGGAAATGTATTGAAGCCTATTAGCCAAGAAGTAGTAATAAAAGTTTGGAAGCTCTAGTCCTCCTGAATCTGCCCACATTTTGTTCATATCTGAAGAAAATCTTAGAATATGAAAACATTGGTGAATGCCACAAATTCTCCTAAATCACTTGTACGCACAACTTAAGAACAAACCTGTGCGTACGAACGGTTCTCGCATGAGGCTCACTGTTTACACTGGAGAGTTAACTACAAAGGGACTTGAACCCTCAGACCTCTGATCTGAAGTCAACCACCCTATATATTAGACCAACTTCTGTTGCAGTTGCCCACGTTGTTTTCACCACAAGACTCTGCACTACTTTTGGAAGTGTGGGCACTTAGAACACAATCTGGTACATCTATCTTTATGGGGACTTGGCATTCATTCCATTATTTTCTACAGCCTAACCCTGACCACTAACTAGGCCTGTCATGATAACAAATTTTGCTGGGCGATTAATTGTCTCAAAAATTATTGTGATAAGCGATAATATCGCCTGGTGACCATTTTAAAACTAATAATTATAAAAGCGTAATAATGTAAGTACATCCTCTCAAAGATCCATAAACTTTAATTTTTAAAGAATGTTTTAAGAAAATGGACTCTCTGTCTCTAACAAAAATGTACTTGAATTAAAAAACAAAGAACAACAAAATGTAAAATAAACACCACACACAAAACTGAAGCAGTAAATAAACAATATTAAAGAACAGCATCTCTTTAGAGATGAAGCAAACTACACAGCCTGGTGAGGACCCACTGTTTCTTATGGGGACATAAGCCCAGTTCACATCCTAAGTAAAGTTTAGGCTTAGTTTAGGGCCAAATAGGTGATAGAAAATACCGGTAAATGAATGGAAGTCAATGCAAAGCCCCCATGAGGATAGAAGAACAAACGTGTGTGAGGATGGGACAGGAGACAAGCAGAGCACTGCAGGGGAGGAAAGTTCAGGGTTTTAAAACACAGTGCTTTTAAGTTTCCTGTTATTTTTGGGAGCTACAGGGTAAAGTCTTGAGGAGTTTGTTGCGTGTCTGTCTGCCTCGTTCATGGAGGTACACAGGCGGGGGAGTTTGAGCCCCCACCCCCTCCCCTTCTCTCTCTCTGTCAGTCTCCCCGCAGCGAATTTCAGGCTCTGCAAGTGCTCCGACACTGCAGCTGCCGCGTTCTGCTTTGAAACCAATTCTTTCTCCATTTTTCAGAATCCCATCAACGTTTCTTTAGTTTGTTATTGCTACCATTGCTACGAGCTCACGCTAAAAGAAGTAAGAGACTGCGCAAGAGTTCACTCCTCCCTCCGACACTAAAACAGGAGGGGAGTAGTCTGCTCAGCCCCCGGAGCACAGAGAGGGAGAGAGATAAAATAAACGAACAAGCAGGAAAATGAAACTTATCGTCCTCGTTTTTTTTTTTTTTTACCAACCTCAAAATAATTTATTGTGCAATT